ATGGTGATGATGATGATAATAACAATAGGCCATTTTACAGTTATGGATGGAAGCTAGTCTGGAGTTGACCTTGTTTTGATACAAACCTTCCTGTTTTATTATGTAAATCAAGTTATTCTTATGCTAACTAGTATTTTTCAAGGACAATTTCCATAACAAAGCAAAGGAGGTTTGTATCAAAGCAAGGTCACCGTCAGCCTCACATTCACTCAAAGGCTAGGGTACTAAGTCCACAATTGTAAAATGGTCTATTGAGTTGTAATAAGACAACTCGTCTCCAACAACATTTTCGAAATGAATAAGATCCACTGTTTGAAAGGTTTTTCACTTTCAAGTTTCTCATTTTTCATGGTTAATGAATTCGCAAATTAACGCGTCGCGAAAATTTCATGTTATAAGGCAGTATAACATGAAAAAGTAAAAGTATTTTATTATTTACAGGGAGAGGACGATTGTATGAGAACAATGACGCCAAGCTCAGGGATCTGTTTTGGCACCATATTTTGGGGGCATACTGGTGATGGTGACGATTATGTGGCAATTGCCCCTACAAATAAGGAAAATTGAAAAAATCTCATGCTTCCTGAAGAATACCTTGGACTGATACAATTCCATAGGCAAGTTTAAAGTTATATCAGATGAATATAGACAAATAATTGAATCGCACGATAATAGCATTATAAACAGGGGCGACCTGTCTGTCAGGGAGGGGGGAAGGGAAGGGTGAAAACAATATGCGAGATATAAATAATAGCCTCCACTAGGGGTGAATATATACAGGGATATTTGTCCGAGGACATTATCTGTTCCGAGAAGCAAACAGTTTTTCGAGAGCGTACCTCGAGAAAAACTGTGAGCTTTGAGGAACAGATAATATCCAAGGACTAATATCCGTGCACATTTTCATTCTAAATGGAGGCTATTGTGGTTATTATCCTTCAAATATTTTTCGCAACACGCGCAGGTTTGAAAATTGGGGAATATCCGAGAATATTCCCCAGTTCCAACTGAAGAATATTCGGCCACGTGACGTGTTTAGACCAATCGCGCGCGAGCGAAAATATTTGATGGATTATAAAAGTTGATATAAGTTTATGAAAGCTCTATGCACCTTTTTTTACAGGGTACCGGTAGCTATGCCGATGCCACTAAATTCCCAGCCAGTACCCCAGATGATGATGTAGTAGTTACGGCGGTTTTGAAAAAAGAGGTGTTATCACCAAAGAAGTCTCAAGGGAATGGTGCCTTTAATAAACGCTCCCGGAAAACGGTTTGTCCCTTAGCTTACAATGTGAAATTCGTTACATCGTAGCCATTTAACGAGGCCAGGGATCTTCCCCGGGCACTACGATTCCCCGCGGGATTTCGACAGTGAAGGCGGGGAACGTTATGAGAGTCGGGTTTGTCTGTTATCCCGGAACGCATTATAGTGGAGCTCTGCTGGAAGGCAGTGCCTCAAGTTGATATTAGAGTTTTACAAATATCTGAGCAGTTGGTTAATATGCTTTTCATGCTCCTACAGAATCCTGTTGATGTTTTTTCCAGACACAAAGGAAAAGAAGACGGCAAATCCCAGAAATGGAATGGTTGGGCGAGGAAGAATACAACTCTGGAGTTCCTGTTTGGAGGGGCGAGCCACAGGTGAGGATGAGTTATTTCAATGCTCTCAAGAGTAATGATCTCGACAACCATCTTGATTCTTCCGAGTAAAGTTGCCTGCCGCTTATGAAAACTGACTGCCGTGGTCGAGTTGTTCGGGTAGCGTGTTCAAGTAATGGCCTCGTGGTTTCTGGGAATGAGCGGAGTCGTAATTGAATAAAGACAGTTCTAATTTTGTGGAAATGGGATACGAACCACCAGATCAAAAGCTTATTAACTTCATTTTTGGCATCAGTATTCCGCAGATCGATTGAGGTCTGGGGCGATGACCCTAGAGCATCGAAAGAGGAATAGAATGCTTTTATTTCCATTGATGTCAGATTATTGATAAAATTGCTTTTTTTATCACCAGTATCATCTTTTTCATAACGATGATCGCGAAGAAATCGTAAGCACTAGAAGTTCAGAGGAATCAGCCGACGAAGATAGTACGCCAAAGGAATCGACCCACTCGAAAGTGTCTGACAGGACTAAAAGACGGCGTACTTCATGGGTACGTTTCTCGCGGTATGGCATTAAATAATAAAGTAACGATAAACAGAAACAATACCGAGAATGATAATTATTTAACTGCTTTGCTTTTCCCTATAGCAGAAAGAAGAGAAGGAGAAAGAAGTTGATCTGATAGATCTGACCACGTCGTTTGACCAGCTTAGCTCTGCTGAGAACACACCGGCAAAGATAGGGCAGAATCAACGTCCTTCCAATGCGAAAGCCAAGGATCTATTCAATGACAAAGCAAGGTAAAAGAAAGTACAATCATTGATGCTAAAGGGTTGAAGGAAAAAAATTAAGAACTTCGGGTCTGAAATTTCCACGATTTAAGAAGTCTTAATAGGCGGTAAAGTAAAAAAGCAAGTAACTCTGTTTACGACTTCAGGCATCTAAGATCGTTGTCGTTATCCTTATTATTTCAGTACCACGGTATGCCTTGATGATCCCGTCAAAATAGAACCAGGAAGTGGTTCAGACGAAGAATTGCTACGACCCGCTTTCAGGTAAAACTGTTGTGCATTACAAATTGAACCAGCACATGAATTCTGTTATGAAAGCAACTCAGAGGGCGAGGATGGGAAGTGGGCGAGTAGCGAGCAACGGGCCCATTCCTTTTTGTGATGTGCTGGCTAAACGAGGCAAGCATGTTGTTATTTCGTTTATCCACCCGAGGCAACATTGTGGAAACAACAACTGCACCAAATGTTTCGAACTCCCTCACTGAAACAACTTGTTGTACACAGCGTTTGCTCGTTGAAGCATTACAGGCGATATCGCAAACTTTTCCCATAATAGTTGAGTTAATAATAATAATAATAATAATAATAATGATAATAATAATAATAATAATAATAATAATAATAATAATAGTACTACTAATAATAATGACTGATAATTAAAATGATATTAATAATAATAATAATAATAATAATAATAATAATAATGATAATTATAATAACAGTAATGATTGCTTAGCTGGTTCAACCACCCTGAAAACATCACATACAACACTGTTTCCATAACAAATTTACTTCGTTCGGCCAGTTCAAGAAACATTTCGGCAACATTCCTTTATAGACGTTGTATAGGGCATGTTAATTGGAACTTCTTTGAGGCAATATCTCTGCTCGGGGAGGCTCATAGAACGGAATAGACTCCTCAAAGCAACAATTTCCTTCTTGCCCTTGAATGGATGATAAAGTCAGGGGTTTTGACTGCCGCTTTTTGGAATACCGACTAGCCCACGCAATCCAGTCCTTTTAGATGGATTGTTTTAGTTAACTGGGTCCTATATGGCCATTTGACAATGTCCATAACTTTTTCGCATAGTGCCTCAGGAGTCTCAGATAAAGATCTCAAAAACGCCATGTACAGTTCACTTCAAGCTTTAACTAAAAGCAGGTATAAAAATTTAAATCTGTAATGTGTAGCTATTGGATGAAACTTTGTATGTCATACCATTATTAGCTACGCGCGCTTACTCGTTTTGACCTTTTTCTCCAATTCTTAGCAAACAAGAGTCGGAACCGGAATCTGACGACTCCATCATTCAGGAGAAGCTGAAACAACGCAAAATATCGAAATCCTTATGGGTCAATGTACAAAAAGAGACCGTGAAATCCCTACCTATTGGAATCAATGGACTTAAAATATACGAAATTTAAGGATTTTCGTCAAAAGCTCGATGCCCTTCAAGATGGCAAAAAATGGAAAAAAAAAGTGTCCCACTGAATGGAAAAACCATGGCCGTGTGCGCTTTGCTGATTGCAAGGGGTCGTACGAATGCGTCCAAAAACAGTGTCCTTTTAAGATGGAATTTAGTGTAACAAATACAACGCAGTTCGAAAAGGAAGGAGGTGAAATGATTTGCAAAGGCTGTGGTAAAGTCGGAGAATATGTTGCATGCAGTGCGCGAAGGTATCTTAGTTATCGTAGTAAAGCAGTGACTGTTTACCACATTGGTAATCACACATGTCCCGTCAATGACAGTCTCCGAGAAAAGGACGTCATGAGCATAGAACAAATTATACGGAATCAACCAAACATCAAGCCCTCCGAGGTACAGTCGGCGTTCGTCATGTCCGCATTTCAACGGCAAATGGACTGGAAAGCAGTCGAAAGAGAGGCCAGTGCTGTATTGGATAAGAAACGTGTATCTAACATGAAACAGAAACTGAAGAAGGATACAGAGCCTTTTGGTCACAACTTTGAGGCCATTGTCTCTTTTAAGGAGTATGCAGACAAAAAAGACCACTTACATGTGTACAAAATCAATGACAATAGAGGGAACCCGAACATGCCATCCTTTGTATTCAAGACAAGCATGACGAAAATGAAAATGGCATTAAACATGGACAAAAAAGGGGACCATTTTCTGAGCAAAGAATTTTTTTTTTTTTGATGGGAAAAGGAAACGGTGCAATGGGTTTATCACGCTAACAGCTACCGCTGGCTACAATGGAGGCAGTGACCGAGGACACGGCAAACGTCGAATTTTTCTGGCGTTTATTTAATGCAGCCCTCAGGAAAGGGTCCGGTTCGGATAGTGCTACATTTGACCCTACAGGCTGGTGTAGCGACATGGCAGGCGCTTATTTAGCCGGAATTTCAAAGGTTTTTGGGGATGAAGCCGAAATTAAATCGTGTGAATTCCACTTTAAAGACCACAGAAACAAAAAAAGCTCAAAAACTGGACAGTAAGAGCAATGACAAGTTTAAACAACTGTGTGACAGGCTGTTACTGTGCACAACTGTTGCTGGATACCAGGCCGCCAAGTCTGATATGGACTTATTTATTGCGGCCGATGATGGCAGGGCTTTCCTGACAGACTGGGTATCGTGGTGACATGAGCGACATGGGTTCATTTTTCCGTGCGTTCACCAACCCCAATGCACCGCAAATGAACCAAGCTGAAGTGTTTCACGCTGGTTGGGCTCACCGAGACCGCCAAAATTTGTCTCTGCTAGACGCGTGTCAAGCAGACACACGAGACGCTTTGCTGCTTGACGTGGAGATCAAAGCTTACTTGACCGGCGCTACACCCGGAGGAAAGGGTCCTTCGCTTGCTGACCGCGCACCTAAACAACATGAAGCAGAAGTGAGGAGAGCGAAGTCAACAGGGAGAGAGATGTTTCCCTCTCCTGAAGGGCTGCTCGTTGATGCGGGTTCCTCACACAAACCACCTTCGCGGAAAAAGAAAGCAACTAAATCAAAGGGTCCGGGTTTACCACCGCCACAGGTACTCAGTCAAAGCATAAATCCCCCGCCTACTTGGCAGCCGAGCTACCCTGCTTCCCATGGTGCTGATCCAGCTTTACCACTGCCACAGGTACTTAGTCAAAGCGTAAATCCCCCGCCTACTTGGCGGCCGAGCTACCCTGCTTCCCATGGTGCTGATCCAGCTTTACCACCGCCACAAGCACTCAGTCAAAGCATAAATCCCCCGCCTACTTGGCAGCCGAGCTACCCTGCTTCCCATGGCGCTGCCAACATGATACAGCCGCGGATCCAGACTTTTTCTCTACCGCCAGTGCATCCTCAACCACCTGTTCCTCAGCCGCCTCTCCATCAACCGTCTTTCCCTCTATCACCAATGCCCTCTGCTGGCTTACAGCCCTCGTGGAATTCTAGCATGTCGCCAAGTATCTACGCGTTGATCATCACGCCTCCAACAGTGAGAAAATGTTATGGGTGTGGGAACGACCTGGGTGATAAATGAAAAACTCCACCCTGTAATATTATAATAAAGCATGTAGACAAACGGGTCACCGGAAAAGATTCTGCAACAGGTCAGCTAATACACAGTCAGGACTATTCAAACACGTATTATCATCCCATAGCAGCTCATAAAACCAAAACAATCCACGTTTACGTCAGGTATGAGCTTTGCAACTCATGGGATGATGACCAGCGCAATTACGTCAACACGCTTCACAGCCTAAGTAGGCTTTTAATTGAATGGGTGTAATTGCCGCATGCCTGCGGTATTTCGAAATTTCACAAGAAAGAGGCAAAACAACGGTACTTCTTGTACCGAGGTTTGTTAAAATTTTTTGCGATACACCACTTCAGCTTAAGCTTTATTTCTCTGGAACTACATATTAGGAGTAACCAATTAACTTTTTAACTGAGTCGATAAAGCTTATTGTCATGCTTATTCAGTTGCGTGATATTTGCAGTTTCAAGTTTCGTTTTCCGGAGCAATCGAAAATGTAGTGGGTCTGGGATATATATACCCCTTAACAGTACCATTGTTTCGATCTCTTCCTTTACTCCTCCGTACTTCGCTTTCATTTCGGAATTTCAAGAGGCTTTAAACCGATGGTGTGAATTTCTTGTTAGTATTTGCTATAGTTGTTTGCCAGCCTGTGAAGTCTGTGAATGCGGCATTTGACAAGTTGTGTTTATTACGTTGTTATCGTTGAGTTTTCCATGTTTTTGTCTTACAGGCAGTAAAATAATCACGCTGACCCAAGTCTCACATAGGACAAAACTAGTGGACGTGGGAAATATTAAATACAAACAGTGAAAGTTACCAGATTAGCAGCCTTTTCATAAGCGAGTGAAACGTTAGACAAGAAAACCATTGGGTCTCTGCTTTCAATATTTAATATTATTTACTCGAGCGTTACAACGATACATGATGCACGTGCCACTAGATGTTAATGTAATATCACCTTCATCACCGTGGGAGTGTAAAAGTTATAAACAACACAAGACAAATAAAACAGGCACC